AGGGAGGCAACTTTGGGAGCTCTGATCAACATCAAGAAATTTTATCACCAGTACTCTGGAGCCAAAGTGGCTTTTTATTTTCTTTCCTTAAAGAGAAAATAAAATATATAAAGGGGAAAGCTCCCCTTACTACTTCAACAAAAGTTCTTTTGAATTATGTAATTTGGTCTTTCTTTAGAGGAAAAAAACTAAGAAGCCAAAAAGTATGAATATAACTTTATTAAAAAAAATAATGTATAGCTTGTAAGCATTTAGGACTAAAACATTTTCAAGGCTCAAATCACCCCACTATGCCACTTAGAGGATTTCCTAATTCAAATGACACATTAAGTATTTTACAATCCTTTTTTGCATCTAACTACCTATGTTTTTAAATTCAACATCAGGGTTTCTGACTAAATTATCACAATTTTGGTTTAAGGGTTAAGACTTTGAACAACCACTGGTCATTATTATTTTGAACTGTCTCTTGAAGTCAACATTTAATTTCAAGTACTACTTGAAAATTATCCAGTTGTCAAAAATCCAGAAGACAGTACACTTTTCCTAATGGCACAGCTTGGGAAAATACACTCAGAAATGGTACTGTGTGAAATTAAGTTGTAAAAATAATTAGGGTCAGCTAGGTGATTTACCACTGTGTATACAGAATCTAGAAAATCAGAGTTAAATATACAAATTTATTTAAAAATAACCTACAATGATTTATATTCTACCCTATGCCATTTATACAGTGCTAAGACGTCTGAAATCTAAGCACTATTGTGAGCTTCCCAGTGAATGCCAATAACTGATCAGAGTTTTCTCTAAACTATTAAACCAACAGATTTTAACATGAATTTGTGGCTACATAAACACAACCTAAATCTTATCAAAAATGAGGCAAAAACGAAGTTATTTTCTGTATTGGTAATTATAACATTTTGCTTTACGAAGCATTACAGTGACTCAAAAACCATACAGACTTCCAAATGAACTTTTGCAGAATATCATAATTGGATCAATAAAGATATTTAGAAACAGAGGGTAAAAAAGGGAAAGTTTAAAAATGTTCACCTTCAATTTATTTCATAGGTCACTGTTATCCCATCTAATAAGATAATTAAAAACATGCAAGCAGCTGGTACTACAGCTAAACAGATTAATGTAATAGTCTGTAGTCATATGTGCTGGCAAGGGGCTCGCCTCTTTGGAGAGGAGAAGGTCAGCTGCCCTTGGGGAGGGGAGGGGGGAGAGGGAGCAGTCCCTCCACCAAAGGGCCAGGTGCTGCAGTCCCTAAGTTAAATGTCCACTGCCAGCTGTGCGTCGGCAACTCCTTCTTTCACACCCAGCAACAGTCTCTCAGTTTTCATGGTTAAATAAGACCCAGAGAAAGCTCATTTCATCTAACAGAAAACATTAACATGGGTCTTTAAAAAGCACAAAATAGACTGCATAAACCAGTAATATCTCCTCAGTTTTTATAATCTTTCCACTTTAATGCAACATCTGCAAATGAGTTGGGAGATAAATAATCAAATTTTAACAAAAACTTCCACAACAAAATCTAGGCTATCACCCGGGCATCACGGAATGACCACACTGGTGCCTTAGGAGTTAAATGAAGCTGGGCTCTATCTGAATCAATGAAGCAAAACCACAAACCCGAAGTAAAACCTCCTAGACTATGAACAAGTCTGTGAGCGTGAGGCACATAAAGCTATAGTTAGGGTCCATCGATTGTAAATTTCAAAATTTGCCAAAATTCCAAAAACCCTCCTCTGAACTTACACCAGTACTAACACATCTCCCTTCTCTCTCTACTGGGTGTGTGTGTCTGTTACACGGGGAGCCTGGAACACAACAGGAGAGGCTGAGAGCTCCAAGCCTCATGTGGCGCTTGTCTCAGCCCCCTCTCTGCTAACAGATAACAGTTATTTTCCTGTAAGACATTTTGTGTTTAAATCTTCCTTTTGGTGTCTCTACTAGCGCAGTGTAAAACAAATTCTACAGTGCCAGAAGATAAACGGTGATGACGGTAACGATGGCATTGACCGGAAGACAAAAGCAGCTCAAACTTACTCGGCATTTGCCACATGGCATTATCCCATTAAGTCCTTAAAGCAAGTGTGATTTATCGCCCTCACACTCGAGGTGAGGAAACTAAGACTTGTCCAAAGTCTCTGGGGTCAGACATGCACCAACTCACTATGTTTAGATATTATTACCGAACAAAACCTGAAACAACAGAAAGCAGAGACTGTCCTCTTTAAAACTGACATCTGAGACCACAATAATGTAAGCAAATAATGGGAAGAATACAGATTTAGGGGACCAGTTCAAGACTGGATTCAAAAGTTAATAAAGCCTCGGCCTGTACCAGGGTGCGCACAAAGATGGAGGCAAAAAATTGCCGATTTCCATGAGGGGAACACAAAGAACTACCAATAAAAACACATGGTTTTGCATTCAGATTTTCAAAAGGCTTCATTTTACACAATTCTGTCAGTCTTTACAACAGCTGTGACAAGGAAGCAAGTCGGACACTATGATGTCCACTTTACAGATGACAGAGTAAAGCCAGTCACTATCGCAGACACAAGCAGACCAGCCCGAGTGTGTCAGTGCCTGGCCGACAGCCAGAACTGTCTGTGAAGAAAGGTCAGGATTTCCAAGGCGGTCAAAACAGTACAACGTAGATTTGTTAGGCTAAAGGATATTTGAGGGTTGGAACATTCATATTTTTCTAATAACCTATTTCTAGTTGATTTAAAAGAGCTATGATAGTAACAGAACAAATTTTCATTTTCAAAACTGAATTTCACTGACAATTCTTGTGGCCATTTTAGTGTGATTCTGCAACTATTCCTGGCTTTTATTGGTTGACCTTATATGAAAATATGCCCTAGAGCTGTGCTGCTATGAATTCTGCATTTAACCCAAGTGTCAGATTCACAAGTAAGCTCATTATATTGTAAGAGCTATTGCCTACTGAGTAGAAAAATATTCATTTCACACCTTAAATACTATAATACTATTTAATAACAGCATTGGCCTGCCAACTATTAAAAGCTCATTTTTATATACTGTACTACCTGAGCTTTTTATCTTGCCTTTTTAATTACAACAATATAGTAATATCTTAACATTACAACACTGACAGGCATTGATTAAAACTATATTAGTTAACAACATTAGTATTTATTGTGCAAAGTTGTATTAGGAGTTCGCTTCAAAGTACAATTATCATTCAATAATACTAAGATACTTTAATCTTCAAACTACTCAAGAACAAACCAAACTACAAGATAATACTGTGCCTTCACACTGACACATTTCTCTTAACTTTATATTATGTCCATTATTTGTTATCATTAGCTAAACTACAAATGTAATTGTGAAACATAATTTACCAGCAAAATTTATATATACACGAGGATTTTCCTTCCTTTGAAATACACCTTTATTTTCCTTTTGTCTTGGGATTTTTTAAAATTGTATTTATATCTAATGCTATCTCCACCATGCATTTCACATATTATCACATTCGCATTCCTCAGTTACATGCCAAACATGAGCATTTATTTAAATCTCTCTTAAATTCACCTTTTGTTGTTGTTGGGATCAACATGTTCAGATAGAGGATTCCACCTATTACTTAGTATGTGAAATTCCAAGCTTTCCCCTGCACTTCAGCACTAAGAGAGGGCTCTGGAGCACTCTAACCCTTAGCAGGTAGGACGGGTGCAGAAAACATAACGACAGCACGTGAGCTTCACTGCCGCGGCAATGCCCTTCTACAACACCATGGGAACACAGCCTCTTGTAGCACCCATGACACTTGAATGACTGATTATTTCTAAAGACCCCAAATGGCATAAAATAAAGATGTCAAGCATCTCAATCACCATCTCATTTCTGGAATTCATAAACAAATTGTAAAAACTTTCACAATGACTGCATTCTTGTTAAGGGTTTCGTGTATATAAGGCCCTACTGTGGATGTTAGAAGCTTGCCTGGGAGCTGAAGGAACAAATGATCTACTTCCAATCACGTATATAGAGTGTACAGTCAAGAATATAAAGAATCTAAGCACAAATTCCATATTTATGATACAAAAGAAGGAATTACAGCTTAATATTCAAATGTTTCCAAGTGTATAGTGGTTCCTGCATATATTTTATAGCATCAATACGCAAGTATCAGAACTTATTAACCATAAGGACAACGTACTCCATCAAAGGATTTCTTCAAGAATCTGCACTGCTACCTACAACACCAAAAGGTGTTATTACTGAATCTGTACTTTATTCTCCCTAAAAGAAAACAATCCAGTTCTTATATCACTTTGGTTCAGCAGATGGATTTCAAATACTACTGGAAGTACTTTAATATTTCCACTTCCAAGGTTTCCCTGTTAAGAAGATACAAAATCCAGAAACGTTTACTCAAGCAAATTCAAGTTACATAGAGAATATTAACAAATGACTAAATAAGATGCGTGTTTTCTTAATGAGTGTATCCTTTTTAAAAATTGCTAATTGAGATGTAACTGCCCTGTTTGCTGAGGAGTCAAACGGGATATTAACAAACAGCCCTTAACATAAGCATGGATTACATTTCAGACTCTCTCAGATGCTCATAAGCAGATACTCTGTATTATCAGGAAACTTAGGCAAACAAAGGAAGCCTTTAGTACCATAAGAGAGATATGGAAAAACAAAAACAAAAATGCATTATGATGAAGCTTAATACTACATGTGCATTCATTCCAATTATCTTGCTATAGGATAACAACAGCTATTTACAGTGAGTTCATTTACTTAAGAACTAAGAATTGTTATATTTTCCCCTACTCAATAAGCTTGCAGAACAACTGCGTGACACAATATTCTTTGCATTTGTCATATTTTTAAAGCACAGATTACAGGTCCTCACTAGTCTGAGATCAGAATCCTCTAAGATTAGGTATCTTGTACATTATCTTGTAATATTATGTATCTATGTATTCATCACCTACCTATAGGAATTAAAAGTCCCATCAGAATCTAAAGTAGAACTTGCTCTTCTTCCATTTTTATTTGAATCTCCTGGAAAAAAAATTTAGAAACACTGAAATAATGGAGATTATGAAACTGCGTATTTCAGTTGAAAAGTTACTGTGACAGGTCCATGCAGTACACTGAGTCCAAAAACATATACCACTTACCCCTTACCCCTCCCCCAAATATCTTTTGTAATCAGAACCTTTAAGCAAAAAATTCATTTTGATGCTAAAATATAGGCTACCACCACCACTCCAACTTGGACAGCACTACACCACAGTAGCTGCTAACAGGAACAAATGAAGTATATAGTACAGCCATTTTCTTCTTCTGAATCGCAGACAAAACCAAAATTTATAAACCATTTAATCAAACACTAATGTTCACAAACAGAGCGCAACTTTTATCAGTGACCAAGTCACCCATCCTGTCCACTGCTGGAGTTGAAAGGGAGCAGGCAGAGAGCAGACCTGGAATGTTTTCCCGGCCCGGCCCTCCACGCTCTAGGAACTTGGCCAGCAGACAGGGAGAACAGAGAGCTGCCTGGAGAGGGGGTGATCAACAGTGCCTTCCAGCGAGCTTTTAATACACCTTCAAAATCTTCCCCAAACTTTTATGTTTTAATTGTGGGCAAAAGTTCAGCAATTTAAAAAAATTGAAAAAAAAAAAAAAAAGAAACAACAACTCAGCATCAAAAGGTATTTCTTCCTCATGCAGTAATATCAAACTTTTAGGGAAAAAACATTTGCACTTGAGCCTATTCAAAAAAACTAGATTGAGAACAAATTCTACCTATCAGTTTAAAGATCACAGAATAAAAATACATTTGCTAAAGAAGTTAAAAAATGTTTACCAGTGACACAAAATATTCTTATTGAAGGAAATTTAATTTTAGCTTAAATTTTAAAATATGTACTTCAAAGTGTACTTTTTATGAAACCATAGTGTACTACTACTAAACACATCATTTATTCTCAGAAACAAATTAAACAGACCAGAATCTGATTACATTTTATACTAATTCCTGTTATGTAACTTTCAAACATCAGGTTATATTCACTTTTGTGATATTTAAAGCCTAATAATTTAATGATTTATCCAATTTTAACTTACACTTTTAATCCATTCTGAACATTCTAAGGTACCACTGGAGATCATCACAGTGGTCTTGTTAAGTCAAATAGCAATTACACAGCTTTCAGTTTAGAGATGAAATTATTTTTAATTATTGAATATAGCATTTAAGGTACCATACTTATATGATTATGCTGCTCATTAAAGGGTTATTGAAAGCTAAAATGTAATTTTAATGACAGTTACCTATTTTTCTTTGCACATTTTATAGTTGACAGATTAGTCAAGAATGCTGGTTCTCTTCAAAATCTTTGCAGCTGCACATAAATGTTTAGAAGAAGGAGAACTGGTCTGAACCCACTTAATTAACTTTTAAGTCTACTCTTTCTTCAAAATACACTTTAAGGTGTTTTTTTCATTAAACAAAAACCCTAAAATGGATTACAGTATTGGAAAATGTTGCCAAATTCCATAGAAGAAAATAATCCAAAACACTTAAATGTTTAAGATCAACCTCGCTGAATATATTTTGTTAATTCTTGGAAAATATGGGTACCATAAGATAACTCAAACAACATATTTCATTTTCCTTTTTAAAAAATTAATGGTATTATCATAAAGAAATGAAAAAGATTTCAGGAAAAATAGTCTCTGCCTTGCTAAGTGAAAATTTCCTACAACACATGTTATTTAACAGCTTGCAGACGTTTCCTGTGAAACGTTCCATAATCAGCATAGAATAAGTACTATATCATAGGTTTAAAATACGAGCTTTCCTTCTCTTTAAAACTAAAGATTATGATTACTTAAATATACAAAAATCTCACCAACAGAGTATCTCTTGCCCTCTGCTGATATTTATCATATCAACTGTAAAATATTTCAAAATTAAGACACTTCCAGTTTTTTAAACAACTAGGTTTTGCCATCAAAATATATTACAAAGGTTTTCTTCATTTTATACCTGTTTGGAAATGAATATATCACGTTGAATGTAACCTTCAAAGATGGTAATAAGGAAAAAAAGGAGTTTTACTCTCTCAAAAACATACCGAATAAGGAATACAATTGTTTCTCTAAACGATATTAGAGAGAAGATTTCAGAGTTTGCTATACGGGGAAAAGGTAATAAAGTTTTGAAGTGGGAAAAACTGCTTTGTTCCTTCAATCCTCTAGTTGAAATTAATTATAGCAAATGTTTATGAAAACATCTGTTCCTTACAGTTATAAATTCTTAATTTTAGTATGGATGATTCCAGACTCTTATTTTGGAAGGAAACTATCTGACAATTGAAAGGTTTTCAAAGAACAGACAGAATTTGTAATTCTAGAAAACTGTATATACAGGGTGCTATGTCCTGTATAGATTTTCATTTTTGTGTGTGAAATACTTGGAGGGGCTTAAAATTGGTATCTAGGAAAAATCAAAGAAAAACACAAGGTCTCATTTTTCATTTAAGCTGTTATGCAATAAAAAACATATCTGTATCACGAGAAAAAATAAGTAAGAATTAAAAACAAATGCTACTTTACTATCAATCTAATCTGGAGGTAAGTATAATAAAAACTAAGTATTAATTTTATCAGAGATTTTAGTTAGTCTAATACAGTCATGGAAAGGTGTGTGTGGTATTCCCCCAAAATAACAACAGAGGGTGCAAGAGAGTTTAATATGATGTGTTTAGTTGCTGTTCTGATTACTGAACCAAGTTGTCAACTGTAACTGTAACAAGGATGCATAGGTTATTTTCAAATCTCTCTCTCACAACCACACACACACACATTATTAATTTCACACAAAGACCTTTAAATGATCAAACAGCACAAATACTTAAAAATGTTTTAAGACAACAGTCTTTCACTTGCTTGAAAAGTAATTTAACAATAGACTAAATTTTAAAAAGATAATTGTGATTTTACAGGTAGTTGATACTTAACGTAAACTAATCAATAAAATAAACTGGATATACTTATTGAGTAATTTAAAATACATACATAAATTATATACAATATATAATACAAATTTTATATGTCACTATGTATATGCATAACATTGTATAACATATATACTTATAGGGACAGTTCATCAATTACTTGTAACTGCTACAGTCTGAAATTTACATAACACATTCATTTCTCATTAGTTGGTAAGTAACTTTATAAAATGAGTTCATAACATTCACAATTAAAATAAGCTGGCTGATTTGAAAAAAATATGCTCGTAGCTATATTGTTTTTAATGAAGATACAAAGAGCATGGTATTTTCCATTAGTAATTGCCCAAATACATGTACCTAACTTACTAAGCCACTAATATGTATAATGGTGACTTAAATTTCAAAAATAGGATAAATTAAATTTGGACTCCTTTTTGGTGTTTACTGCAGTCATGTCTAGCTAAGGGCATTTACAGTATCTATCTGTGCATGTTGAAATCATGCTAAATGAAGCTTTACAATAGATTTCTATAGTGCTTTTCATGCACAAACATCTGCTTCATGAAGGGAGAACAAGATTTTAAACTAGGTTAGGTTAAAAACAGCTAGAATAATGCTATAATTAAACACACCTACTTAACTGTGCCTTCACTTTACATATAAAAAAATCAAGTTTAAAAGTATCATATCATACTAGGTATGAATTCTGAAAAAAGTACTACATAATAAAAAAAAAGGTTGATCTCTGAATTTAGAGAAATGTCATCAAGTGTGTGTGATGAATATTTAATAGTAAGAGGGAGAAATATTTGGTTCAAACTAAGTTGAAAACAAAGCTATAGGTAGCCATATTTTAGCTGTGACAGGATAATATGCCATAAATGAATAGTGTGAACACCTAAAACCTTTTGTGTCTTTAAATGAATGAGGATTACTACTGAAATGTTTTAGATAAATTTAAAATCCCAAAGTGAAAGATGCAAAAAGAGCTATCAATTAAGTATATTCATGTGTTGATACAGTTAAAGCAAAGCACAGTGAGTAACTCAGCATTGTCTATGAAGACTGTAGCCACAAAGGATATTTATTACCTCATTTCAGGAATCACGTAAACAACAGTCTCTCTGGGCTAATTATTTATGCTAAAAATGTAGGACCACCTATTAGGTCTAAGAGCCAGTGCTCAAGTACACACAAGAAATTTGTTTACTTAATAATTTTTCGTGTTCTCTTAATTATTGTTAATTTATCTATATTCTAATGATTTAAAGGCCATATTTAGTTCTCTAAATAATATTTTCAAGTTATTAACTTAGATAATGAAACTCAGATGTAAAACAAATACATAGGAGCAATTTTAAATAAATAACATTTCAAGAGTACAATTTTAATTTAGGAAGATAATACTTGTTACTTCCGTTAAATTACAACAGAATTCTTCTTAAAAAGAAAGCAGAGTGACATCAGCAGAGTGGCAGAATATACAACTCCAAATTCTTATCCTCCCACAGAAATACAGAAAAACAAGAAGTTACTGTCAGAACCAACTATCTAATAGCTCTGGAAAATAGTCAAAGATTTACAAAAACCAAATGGACCAAGAAAAAGGCAACCTGAAAGCTCTGTGGGGCTTTGACTTGCTTGCTCTACCCTCTCCCTAGCCAGAGCGTCAGCCATCCTGAAGAAGGAAGCGAGTTCCCAGAGTGGGAGAATAGTACCTGGTTCCGGAGGGGGCAATGCGGACTGTATGTGCACAGTATTGTGTAAATCAGTTCTAACTTTTTAGGAGCTACCTGAAGAACTGATACAAGACATTTGTTTCTTTTTCATCTAACTTAAAAAAAAAAAAAAAAGGAAGAAAGAAAAAAAAAAAGGAAGAAAGAGAAAAAAAAAAAGGTGGACATTGCTCTTGAACACACTGCAGGTCAAACTGAGAGCCAGCAGATGCCTGGGGCAAAAGGTTACAACTGAAACATAAAACAGACCGCCTAAGGCCCGGGAGAAAAAGCTAGTGAGAGTTTCTTTGAGAAATCA